CTGTAAACCGACTTGGGAACTGTGAGAATTTGGTATTTAAATGCTCCTCATGCTTCTACCACTTCTTTTACAGGAAGGGACACTCCCATCAAGACCGTCTCTAGTGGGCAAACTTTGGTGTCTAGTGGAGAAGTTAACCTGGTCATGTGAATTTAGATTTAATAAATTGGTATTGATTTTCAACGAGTCGGATCTTACATGACTGTTCTTGGTTTTATTTATTGGGCCACACTACTAAACCAAAGTTCCATTTTTGCTTTAGCAAGGTTGTTCATTCTGATTGGTGCTAGATTTGAACTAAAGAAGCCAAGCTTCTGCCCAAGCCATTTCACTGAACTACTTGCCAAGCTCCAGTTGCAAACCTGGGTTCCTCAATATTTTATATAGCAGGGTGCAGACTTTTTTTTCCTCGCAGTTTGTTTTGCCAAGGGATAAAACATAACGGTAACTGTGACTTATTTCACAATTCTTACTTATTTTTCACAATTGTGAGTTACAGTACTTCTGGCAAATAAACCCTGCATATGAGTTGACATGAAAGTGCAATAATTCTGATAAAACAAGAAATTTCTCAAATGAGAATAATCATGATTATCAGTTTAACCATCATTGTGCAGCCCTACTTGTTGTGTGAAGGGCTTTTAAATCCCTTTATTGCATTAATATAATCCATTTCCAGATGTCTTGTGACGCTGATGAGCTCAATTGGCCCATGCGGAGCTGGAATGGAGAGTTTGAGCTGGCTGTTGTCACCGAGAGCTTCGCTCTAATGATAGATGTTTGTGTGCATCTCCAGACCACGGTGAACATAGTCAGGGAAGTGAGTCTCAATCTCAGTCACAAACTCAATGCTGGCAGACAGTGGCAAAGCATTGATAACAATCAGAAATGTTTCTTGAGCAGCAAATCAGCATATTAGAATGATTTCTAAAGGATCTTGTGACACTTAAGACTGGAGGCCAGAATAGCCAAAACATCCACTATTTAGTGATGGGAATTTCAAAACACTGCTTCATGAAGCTTTGAGGCCTTTACAAATCGTTTGTTCCGAATCAATGGTTCGGAGCGTGTATCAAACTGCCGGAGTCACGTGATTTCAGTAAACGAGGCTTCAATACGTCATAACTGTTTCGAAACGTTTTGGAACACTTCGGAATTTCAATGGTTCGTCGCTGGGGGCGATGATCTCTGTCAACCCAGGAATCATGAGGATTCACTGAGAACCATTGAACAAGTGTCTGTGGGTTTTACCTGATCTCTGATCAGTTTTATACATTTGTAGACTATTTAATTAGACATTATAATTCAAATGAATAATGGTAGTTAATAGTCTTATTGGCCTGTTTAGCTGAGCCATTCATAGAACTAACAAAACAAACCCTGACAATTGATAAAAGAACATATATACACTTGATAATCTTGTTAGATGATTAGATAATTACATTTGAAAGATTTTACTTTCAATAAAACATTTGCAATAGATTTGTAAAAGGGGTTTTAAATGCATGTTTGGCCTGGGTTTTTGTTGCATTTACACTGTTCTGACCACTAGGGGTCACCATGGAGACAGGTGTCGGATTGTTTCGAAGCCTCGACAAAATACGGCACATTTGCTTCAACTTTTTCAGTGTTTTACGAAGCCTCGATCTGCCCACCACTACCACTATTATATTCACAGGATGAAGCATAAAACAAAGGCTGAATTCTGAACGGCAGAAATAGTACTAGTAAACTATTCTGAAATAAGCTCAATATGTGCATTCTATGTATGTTCCAAAAGGGTGGAAAAACAAGGACAGTTGAACCTTAAGAACCAATGGAAACACCCAGTTGCATAAACTCCACACTCATGCAAGTCTGGAGAATCATGACTGTTAATGAAAAGGGAGGGATTATCGTTAATTAGCCAAAATCTGTAGAGTACAAAAAGACCAAAGGGCAGCATCTCAACAGTGTGACTAGCTGTTGAACAATGGCAGGAAGTTGGTGTGTTGTTCAGTCTCTGGCACTTTGTGTTTGGTTCTGTGCTTTCTGCCATGCCGTTCCAAAGTGGAGTAATCTGCCCCAAAGTCCTCAAGCTCTGATGTTCCAGCAAACTGACCAGCGGTTTCAACAGCAAGCTGGTCAACAGTTTCCTCAGCAGTTTCCTCAGTCAGTTCAACGGCAAGCTAATCAACAGTATCCTAAGCCAGTTCAACAGCAAGCTAGTCAACAGTTTTCTAAGCCAGTTCAACAGCAAGCTAGTCAGCAGTTTCCTCAGTCCGTTCAACAGCAAGCTGGTCAACAGTATCCTCAGACAGTTCAACAGCAAGCTAGTCAACAGTTTCCTCAGTCAGTTCAACAGCAAGCTAGTCAACAGTTTTCTAAGCCAGTTCAACAGCAAGCTAGTCAACAGTTTTCTAAGCCAGTTCAACAGCAAGCTGGTCAACAGTATCCTCAGTCAGCTCAATGGCAAGCTAGTCAACAGTTTTCTAAGCCAGTTCAACAGCAAGCTAGTCAACAGTTTCCTCAGTCAGTTCAACAGCAAGCTAGTCAACAGTTTCCTCAGCAGTTGAAGCCTAAACAGCCAGTGGCACAGGCAGAGCCCCTTGACAAATGTGCTGTAGCTGATTATGAGCAGATCCAATGTGGACCACCTGGTATCAGTGGTGCTGAGTGTGCAGCTATTAACTGCTGCTTTAACGGACAGCAGTGTTACTATGGGAAGGCCGGTAAGAGTGTTGAGTCAATGTAAAGGTGTTTCTTGTTAAACTGATCCTCATCAATAACCAGCTCTTGTACCTTGTTCCAGTGACTGTCCAGTGTATAAGAGATGGTCAGTTTGTGGTAGTGGTGGCTAGAGATGTCACGCTGCCTCGTTTGAGCCTGGATTCAGTCCGTCTCCTGGGTCGAAATGATCCAGCTTGCAGTCCTGTGGGATCCACACCTTTCTTTGCTATATACCAGTTCCCTGTCACTGCGTGCGGCACGAGCATGACAGTGAGTAGCTGCTTGTGGTTTTGTTCTGCATGGCTTAGAATGGACTGGATGCCAACAGTGTTACTCTTTGCAGGAGGACAGTGGATATGTGGTGTATGAAAACAGAATGACCTCCTCGTATGAAGTGGGTATCGGACCACTTGGTTCCATCACAAGGGACAGCCATTTTGAGTGGGTGACGTATGCTTTAGCACGTTTGTTAATCCTTGGCAAATGCTACAAGCTCACTGTTTGTTTTCCAGGCTTCTCTTCCAGTGTAGGTACTCTGGTACTTCTGTGGAAGCTCTGGTTGTGGAGGTCAACACTGTTCCTCCACCTCCACCAGTAGCTGCTCCTGGACCCCTCAGGGTGGAGCTTAGACTAGCAAATGGTCAGTGTGTCACCAAAGGCTGTGCAGAAGGTAAGTGTTTGACCCAAGTGTGTGCCTAAAGCCTTTCTAAAGCTCCAGGTTGCAGCGGTTTCTGGTTAAACACTATTCTTCCTCAGGGGACGAGGCGTACACTTCCTACTACAGTGATGCTGATTATCCTGTTACAAAAGTCCTGCGGGAGCCTGTGTATGTTGAGGTGCACGTTTTGGAGAGGACCGACCCCAACATTGTCCTGATGCTGGGACATTGCTGGGCGACATCAACCCCCAGTCCACTCGGTCTACCCCAATGGGACCTTCTGGTTGATGGGTGAGTAAGGCCAGTCTTTATCCATCTAGTGTGCTGTAAGGTGTTTCTGATTCCCTCTTTGCCTTTCAGATGCCCTTACCAGGATGATCGTTACCTGACCACATTGGTTCCAGTGGCTGGATCGTCTGGTCTTCAGTTCCCAACCCACTACAAGCGCTTTATTGTGAAGATGTTCACATTTGTTGATCCATCATCACTGGCTCCTCTGCAGGAAACCGTATGCTCCGCAGCCTTACCTCAACCCTTAATATTAGTACTTTTTATAGTGAATTCTATGGCTAAACCCTTTCCCCTTCTGTTAGATCTTCATCCACTGTAGTACAGCAGTGTGCCATCCCTCTTCTGGCTCCTGTGAGCAAAGCTGCACTAGGAAAAGTGAGTGCTTGCTGTAAACCGACTTGGGGAAACGTGAGAATTTGGTATTTAAATGCTCCTCATGCTTCTACCACTTTTACAGGAAGGGACACTCCCATCAAGACCATCTCTAGTGGGCAAACTGTGGTGTCTAGTGGAGAAGTTAACCTGGTCATGTGATTTTAGATTTAATAAATTGAATGAAACCCAACATTGTCTATTTGGTATTAATTTTCAACTGGAGTCGGATCTTTCATGACTTTTCGCAGTTTTATTTATTGGGCCACACTACTAAAATAAAGTGACAATTTTCCTTTAGCAAGGTTGTTCATTCTGACTGGAGTGCTTGACTTGAATTTGTGACGTGCCTCTAGGCCCGTCCTACTGAGGTAATTAATGTGAAACACCTGCAGAGGGTCATAAAAGGTAATGGTTCTCTGACTTGGGGTGGCTTCGGTTACCCTCTGGTTTTTTGTTAGTTTGGGTTGTTGTTTTATTTGTTTGCTTTATGTATTAGTTTTAGTTTGGGAAGTTATGTTTACAGGCCTGTGTTATTGGAACGTGTTTATTGTGTTTGTGTTAATTACGTAGCTTATTCTTTATTGTGAATAAAATCTCTTTGACTGGCTTTTGTTCTCGTTGCCTCCCTCATTTGTCGCGGCTTAGAGCCGGCCGTGACAAATTAAACAAGCCAAGTTTCTGCCAAGCCATTTTACTGAACTACTTGTCAAGGTCCAGTTGTTAACCTGGGCATCTATGCTTCTGTATAGCTCAATATTTTTCTTGCAGGGTGCTGACTTTTTCTCGCGATTCTGCTTTTTGCCAACCATTTAATGCTGCCAAGGAATAAAATTTATAAAGGTAATTGTGACTATTTCATAATTCTTTTCTTGCAATTGCCAGTTGCTTGCAATTCTGATTCGTGCATCTCCCTTTTATGTGAAGGGCTTTTAAATGCTTTATGCATTGATAATCTAGTTTCACTTACGTGATGCTAATGAGCTCCGTTGGCCAATGAGGAGCTGGAATGGAGAGCTTGAGCTGGCTGTCAGTCACAGAGGGCCTCGCTCTAACACCGCTCTCATGATAGATGTTCGTGTGCATCTCCAGACCACAGTGAACATAGTCGGGAAAGTGAGTCCCAAACTCAATGCCAGCAGACAGGGTCAAAGCAAATTCCCTCTGTGGTGTAGTCATTAATTCATATTAGTATACTACCAGTCAAAAGTTTGGATTAAGATTGTTTTAGCATTTATTTGATTAAAAAAACAGTAAAATATTATTACAATGTAAAACATCTGTTTTCTATGTGAATTAATAGCAAACTTAAAGGGGCCAAGCCCTTATTGTAATTTCTATTTTTCTTATTCCTCCCGAATGGGAGTGTGGCAGCCCTATTAACGGAACATAGGAAAAGTATGAAATTTGGCACACTTGTAGGGATGGTAACGAATAGTAATTTGACCAATTGTCTCTAGGATCAACTCTATAGCACCACCACCAGTTCAAACTTCAATTTTGAAATGGTTATAACTTTTGAACATTTTGTTCTAGAAATATTAGACTTGGTACACCTGATTTCTCTCATTATGCAGATCACATTCAATATCTTACATTAAGACTGCCCATTTCAGTAGTAGCCATTTTTAGCCAAAAGTACAGTATTCATGTTTTTTTCATTACTCCTTTAAATTTTGCTCAATTCTTACGAAAATTGGTTCAGATGATCTTGGGACTGAGCCGCACATAAATGACTGAACAGATTTTTTTAAAATTCATCTTTGTTCAAAGTTATGATGTCAGAAACTTAACGAGGTCGACCCAAAATTGGTTCTGGGGCTTTATCTTGGCTAAACTTTGATCAATCGAAACGAAAATAGGTAGGCTTTATCGGAACCATAATCTGAGGGACCATTCCAAATTTGGGACTACAGGTCATGAGATCTGAAAAATGGCTATTTTTGCTCATAACTTTTGAACAGTTTGTCAGAAAATCATAATCTTCAGTGTCTATGGATTCCTTGTGTCATGACAGGATTGAATAAGCCACTTATCCACCATTTTCAATTTTGACATAAATTGCAATATCTTTAAAAAAAATTGACATATCTTCACAAAATTCATCAAGGGTATGTCCTGAAGGTGTCCGAGAAGTTTGAACACAGTGCCACCTTGTGTTCCAGAGATATACCTTTTTTATAAAATAAAAAAAACGCTTATAACTTTTAAAAAAAAAATTTAAACTTTGATTTATGCCATTATGTGCCTTGGTTTTTGCCGATTCCAATTTTCCAACAATGTGACTGTCCATCATAATGAAGCAAGTGAAAAACTTTTGACAAATCGTGCTCAATTTTGTAAACAAATTGGCTAAGATGATCTTTGGACCAAGCCGCACAGAACAGAATGGAGTTGATATTCACCACCGTTCCCGAGAAATTCTTCTTCAAAGTTGACCTTGCTAATTGGTTAGCATACTAACCAGATGCCATTCTTTCTAATGTGGCTCTTTAGTTATCAGGTTAACCTGTTAAAGTTACATTAGCATTAAACTAGCTTAGCATGCTAATCTGGTTAAGATGCTAAGTAATGCTGTTGTGTCCTCAGTCTCACACCGAAGACTCTCCTTTGCAGTTCAGTGAGTCAGCGTCAACTGAGTAATGTAAGCTGCTAAACCCGTGCTACGAGCCCTGAACCTTTTAGGTCGTGGGTTCGAATCCTGTGTGGCACATGCCCAGGCCGCCAGAGGTACTGTGGCCAGAAGTGGTGCAAAAGTTGCTTCTGTTCCAGACATGGTGTCTTTCTGAGAAGGAACTCATAAAATATAACACGTGTTGCATTTATATTAAACAAAATAATTTTGAGTTGATTCTCACTTGACCCTGACCCAGAGATTGTGGGTTCAAACTTAATAATTATATTTATAATTATAATTGTGTGTAATGTTGCGTCATTTCAATTCCTTTATTATCTGAGTAAGCGTTGTACCAATCTTTCTTCCTCTTGGATTAAAAATAAGTATGTTTTGTTCCTTCTGTGTTCTGTTCATTTTGTGTTCATTTTCACCTATTCTTCTGAACCAGCGGTTTTTCCATGCATGTTTCATTTCTGCTATTTTTTCTTTTCCTGCTCCGCATTGTGCTACAGCCCCTTCTGGGGCTTGGCCTGGAAATTGCTGCTTGCAGATATATTTTATTCCTGTGATCAAAGCTATTTTCAGCATCATTACTCCAGTCTTTAGTGTCACATAATCCTTCAGAAATCATTCTAATATGTTGCTCAAGTAATATTTCTGATTATCATCAGTGTTCAGTCATATTTTTGTGGAAACCGTGAAACACTTAAAAACTTTGGTCAAGTAAGATTTTAAAAAGTGAATGCTGTTCTTTTGAACATTCTATTCATCAAAGAATCCTGAAAAATAAAATATATCATGTTTCCACAAAAATATGACTGTTTTCAACATTGATGAAATCAGAAATGTTGCTTGAGCATCAAATCATCATATTAGAGTGATTTCTGAAGGATCATGTGACACTGGACTGGACTGAAAATTCAGCTTCAATCACAGGAATAAATTACATTGTACAATATATTTACATAGACAACAGCTTTTTTTTTTTAAATTGTAATAATATTTCAAAACTTTTACTATATTTTTGATCAAATAACTGCAGTTTTCAAAAACATGAACACATCTTAGAGCATAATAGTAGAAATGCAAGATTATCTGTTGTTGACAATAACACGTGCACGACTGAAGTGTGTTGGACTCACCCTGCCTGGATTAAAGCTCAATCCTCCTTTTACTCCAGGAGTAAAAGTACCAGACAGAGCCACTCTCACTGGAAAGCCAGCTCCGGTGGGCAGATAAAACTCATTATCCATAAAGATGTAGTGAAGGAAAAGCTCGTTGTCGACACTTGAGAGCAGTCTTTTGAGGAACTATTTCAAAAATATAATGCTGATTAGTAATGCAAAGACATTTCGATGACTGAAATTTGTTGTTTCGGGCAAACGGTTTTGGAGGATAGAAATTATTGACCCAAACAGTGACGTTTAATTAGCGTTTCTTTCTCTAATGGCGTGTTCAGGGTCTATTTTGTTCCACAACGTGGATAAACTACAACGGGTAAATATGTCAGCTGTGTGGACGCTAGAGCTGGATTAACAATGTCGATATCTAATGTTTAATCGATACTGATCAGGATTGTGAAATTTTTTATGTGAGTGTATGGAGGTGGGGACTAATTTGCATATTCATGATTCCATACTAAATGACACAAGGGTGTTGAGTTACATTGAAGCTATTTTTAAGGCATGAAAAAATTATTTTCACAGGAAAAAAAATGTTTAAATATGTCATTTTAATTATCAAAGATGAGTTTTAAAGGATAAAATAATTTACTTCACTTTAAATCTCAAGATCAATCTTTTCGTCAATGCTTTAATTGATGCATGAAGAAAACTTTACTACATATTTTGTGTAGCACCTCCCATCCAATAATCTAAAAAATCTTTGTGCTTTGATACTTTTGTTTAGAAACAAAGTCTGAGCTTTCAAATTCTGTCAATTTCATCACAAAATTCAAACAATAAATGTGGATTTGTGTGGTGACAGATCGCTGAACTGAGCATCTCTTCCTCTGTACTACTAGTTACTACCAAATAAACCTCAATGAACATCAGAAAGAAGTTTGAAAAATACAGAAAAACTTACTGAAATCAATCATGTCTCATGTAATCAGTGTTTCAACCAAGGAAAGGCATCAATAAATTGTTTGAGAACAATGTTACGTAGTTACATTTACCTCAGAAAAGCCATTCAATGATCATAAACTTGATAGTCAGCTAGAAAAATGCATGGTTGGTTGGTAAAACTGTACTCACGTCAGTGGGGATCATCTTAAGGAGATTGTGAATCATCTTGCCATCTTTTGTATCAAGATACCCAAGTTCAGCACCCAGAAGCTTGAGGTACACCATTGCTTCAGGAGCATCCTGGGCCTTTAAGTCCTCGATAAGCTTGTTGATATTATGACTGATTTCATTGACTATGTTTTGAGAAGCCTACAGCACACAGAAGAGATTGAGAATGGAATCCAGCTGTGAAGAAATACATCAATTTGCAACTTTCAGTACATTTAATACCTGTCTCTTCTTCCTATCGTTTCCCATTAACGGCAGCATGTTGTCCAAGACCTCATTGAGTTCGGTGGGCATTTTGTCGGTGGCAAATAAGGTGGTCTTCATGATAGTATCTGGGAAGAATCCATCATCACCAAAGAGAGCCTCCACAATGGGCTCAAAGCCCTTTCCCTCCATGCCAATCTGAAAACAAGAATCAAACACATTAGGGCTGGCAAATATCAAACAGATTTCATAGGGCCATAATAAATTAAATGTTGGACTTTTATTGAACTCTGTACCTCAATTAAGTCCATATCAAATCCAAAAGCATTCAAGGTCATCTCCAGCATGACCTCCCTTGGAAGTTCATTAGAAGATTCAAAGATCATGTTTCCCTCTAAAGATCCAAGTCTGTAGTACCGAGAGAGTTCATTTGGTTCCATTAGCATTTCAATTTCATTGCCTTGAAAGGCTTCTTGAATCTTCTGTCTCAAGCTAGGGAGTAAACAAAACAACATTACCTTTTCTTCTGAAACTTAGATTAGGTTCTTCTTCTTCCCATAATTTTTTTTAACTTACTCCAGGGTCTCTGGTGCTGTAGAGCTCAAGATGTTGCTGATATGAGAGATGATGAAGCTCTTGACCTGAGGATTTTCCTCAACAAGGAGAGCCGCTGCCAGTTGAGCGAGTTCAGGAGGCATGGGGTTCTTCATCAAGATGAGATACGCAGCTACACGCTTCTGTACGGACGCGGCTCTGTCCAGAACAGCATGCATGAGCACCTCTCGGCCCTGTAAAAGCCATGAAATGACCATTAGACTAGGGCTGTGATATATATCGCAAAAGAATAGATAAAGCGCATGCTGTGATTGTATTAGGTAATTACATGCACAACCGGTTTCAGAGTGAAGTTTGTCATTTACACACGTTTATTACATGATACAGCGTTTCAGAGTCTCATTAGCTATTTCTACCCATCTATGTTTGGGATATTACTGGATGGAAACGCCAAGATGCAGATAAATTCTAAAAATGTGCATAAAAAACGTATGCACTTATTGAGGTGGATCATTTTTTATCCAATAAGAAGACATGCGCATAAACATTTACAGAATAAATTCCTCTATGCACAATAAAAAAACTCGACTTGGCTCAACAGAGGATGTGATTGGATAACTGGACTAACCAGCAGACCAATCGCATCACAGCATCTCAGATGTTGATTTGATCTGAAATGCCTGAGCCAAAGTCTGTCATCAGAATAATTTGGTTTAATTCCCTCCTAGAAGCATCTCACATGATTGCGATCAGAAAACAACAGGAATCCAAACGCAAGATAACTTGATATCACCAAGTAATTTATGATGTACGGAAATAAAGAGTCATAGTTTCTTTTTATTACAGATATTTTGCAGCAATTTCCCAGAAAGTGACGATTTTGCTTATTACCGTTAATCAAGCTGTTCTGAGACGCTGTGAGCTGCACCCGTGTAAATGAACATAGTGCTTCACTCTGAAACCGGCAGCAAGTATCCTGTATTTTTTTCAATATATATCTCAATATATATATCACAAAATATCGCAATGTCAGTATTTTCCAATATTGTGTGGCCCTATTTTATACTGACTTCAAAATCACCAAGAGTTGTGGATTTATTTAACAGCTCACCTCTTCAGGTACAGGAGTCTGTCTGTAGACCTGGACCGCGGCCTGTTGGACTGCAGGGGAGGCAGCCGGCTGCTTGATGCATTGAATAACAGAAGACTGCAAAGCGGGACGCGCAGCCCCTAATGCAGCCACCATGTTGCCAATGACCTGTAATAGACTTTTAGGGTAATCTAACGAAACCAAATGCATGATGTTTGGCCAAACCATCCAGCAGTTATAAGCAAAAACTCAAATCTTCCTTTCTCTTGAACAGTAGGCGGTGCAGTGCCACAAATTTGCAAGTACCATCGAGTCATGATTATGATGACATGTACCAAGTTTCGTCCCAATTTGCTGAGGCATTCAAGAGTTAGAGCCCAACATCCATTTTGGCGTGTCAAATTCATTGTACGGTACGAGTAAGATTTGGTCAATCAAGTATCATTTAAAAACTTTTTACTTAAAATGCATGCACACATTACTGTGAAGCAAACCAGTTACCATACATTGCTTGGCAGTGGTCGAAAAGAATTTAAAAAATGACTTTTTGATTGATCCCTTCTTATGGATTTGATGGCAATTAACTTACCAATATGACCTCTGTCAAAAACGGTAATTTAGCCGTGAATTTTTATGCAGATAGTGGGAGAAAAACACAGACATTCTGTAATCAGACGGCAATAAAATCACAGACTAACCCCTGTAAATATTGAAAATACCTTACGTCCCCATGAGAAACAATTACCATCCGAATAGGGCTTTAGTTGTAAAGTGGAGGATCCCTTTCCCACTCTACAGATAAAGCGCTGTGAATTCCGGCTCGCGTACCCCGAAGTGATAAAAAAATAAAAATATTAAATATTAAAAATATAAAAATATTTAAAAAATAAAACAAAATTCTGTATCAAAATTTATAGGCAAGAAAAGTAGTTTGTTTAGGCTGGGTTGTATGAATTACAAACCTGCGCACATATTTTAAAAAGCACATAACTATAGAATTCTGAATGAGCATGTGAACGCCGTCAGCGTTAATCACAGATTCGCGTTTAAAGTCTGATCATTTCGACGGAGGTGAATCAATCAAAGTTAACTTTAGCTGGAAGTAACATTATTCAAGAACCGCTATAACGCCAAAACAATCTGTTACCTTAAATTATATGTTTATCTCTGTAAAGCTGCTTTGAAACAATCCATTGTTAAAAGCGCTATATAAATGAAGATGACTTGACTTGACTTGACTAAAGTCTGAAGTTGAATTTATTAGCATGTAGGAATTTGTGTGAACATACCTTCAAAGAAAGAAAGACGTGTTCCTGGTCACCTGTGCAATCACCGATCTGTTCAAGGGCGTAATCAGCCACTGCCTGGATCTCACTGGTGACTCCATCCGTCTCAAAGAGCCTTGGGTCACAGAAAAAAGAAAGATGTTATATTGATGAAAAGTTCACTTGCGTACAACATGGACGACAGTCAGTGAGCAAAACTGTGATTTGTCTGAAAATGTCTTTTCACAAGTTTGCAAATTCAAGAGTACTATATTTATGCATTGGTCAGACACTATAATCAAGGTTAACATTACCAATCAAAATTTTGGAATAATAACATTGTGCATGCATTCCCTTGGAATGGAACCCAAGATCTTGGCCAATCCTTAACTGGAATGCTACCAATTTGTAAAAATTCAACTCATATGTTAGTTGACGCTTTACTTTTACCTTAATCTAAAGTTTTAAATGGAATACATTTCTACAGCTGTCCCTCACCTTCTCACAGCATTGCTGAGAGCGTAGTAGATGGGTTTGCTTGGCTTGAACTTTGCCATCGCCAACATTTCCTTCACAAGGACGCGGGAGGACTGCGGTATCATTCCCATGGCATATACAGCAGCGTCAATCTCACCCGAGAACTTCTCAAAGGTCCTGAATATCTGCATGACAGCACTGCAGCATTCTGGTGTACCGCACTGTAGCAAAGCCTGGTACGTCAAAGACTGAGAGATTTCCAATGCCTCGGGAACAACGGCCGTCAAGGTTTCAGCTTCCATCTTGCGGATCACGGCTACGAGCTTGTGGGCCAAGTAGGCTCTCTTACGTCCATCGTTGGTCATTGTTGGGTCATTGTCTTTTTTATTTCAAGGAATTAAATAAAGTATTTAAATGGATAAAAAAATGCTAATCAATTTGAACTGTTTCCAAATAATGGTTTTATTTTAAAATATGCACACAATCACTGATATTCACATGCTTAATATGTGGAAAAACCAAAAGAGGTTTTGCGTTATGTTGTGACATTGGCATTTCTAGAGACATGCACTACAGTTACATGAGCTACAGGAAATTATTATTTCACTTACTTATGTGAAAAGAGCGCAAGAACATGTTTTTCGGTGCAAGTTCCAGAGGTCATGTGGTGCTGCTCATTATTAAACTTGTAGTTGCAGGTCTGGTTGCTTCTAATCAGCTGAGCAAGAGGATAATTCTTGGGAAGAGAGAAGGACAAACATTGGACATCTCAACCTACTTATCTCCACTGGGTTTTAAATGGGTCATGACATTGATTTTTTTTTTTTTTTATGTTTATTATTTTAATATGTTCCTTGAGGTTCCCTCTATAACTAATTGTCACGAAAGTTTAAGCCTTGCCAAATTAAATATTCAATTATATAATAATTGTCCTGTTTAGTAAATCTGGCCCATTGTCTCCTAAAAGAAAGAATCGATTCTGAACTGCCTGAAACGAGTCGTCAATAATTGAGTCTCACTTCCTGCTGAATCTGTGTAGGTTTGTAACTAATTTGCATAATTGGCTCTCTGGTCTCTGGTCTTGATTGGCTGAACAGCGTCTCTTTGCCCCGCTCTCAATCACTGTAGTGTATCTGAGACTGAAAGAGTTTGGTTCGTGTTGTTCATGTTGAGAAAGCCGCTGTTTTCTGCTGACAAAGCAAATCCACTTTGATGAGAGATATACGGCAAAACCGACGGCATCGTTACTGTTTGTATTACTGTGTGCTGTGTAAGAGCTGAAATTCAGATATGCTAATTGAGCGTTTGGTTTCAGACCAATCACAACAGATTGGGCCGTCTGACCAATCAGAGCATTGGATGAATGTAAACCTCAAAAACAAAATTAGCAACCTATAAAATAGCATGATTGGGGCACTTTAGGTCTAGGTCTCTGAACTCACCATGCCGGAGATGAGGGCGAGGGGACTGGTGTGGTCTTCGACTGGCCGGAACTTGTCACAATCGGACAAGTCTCTTCTAAGGGTGACTTCGGTGGCGACGTCCTCTCTGGTGTTCACAACATAGTCAGTCTTACACAGACCGTAGATGGTGGGCTGGAATAGAAACGGTCTGAATGTTAGAAGTGGATTTGACATGAGCGTCTTCCCATTTAAGAATGAAGTTTATCAAAGGAGCAGGGCTACACGATACCGAAAACTGACATTGCGATATTTTGGTTTTCTGTGATATATATTGCAAAAATGCAGGAATTTTCCCCAGATGACTTGATTGGCTATATTTGGAAAAAAATAATCATTCAGGTGTTTGATTTTGTTTGTGAAATTCATCTGCATAATACATTTGACAAGTAAATACTGTTTCAGTTTTTCTACATCAAAATTTCACGTGTAATTCAATGTGTTACTTGCCGTTTTGTTGAAATTATTTGTGAAATATACTAGCAATATCTAAGTGAAAATTGTTTCAAAGTAAATCCTACACTGTTTTTCTAGTGTGAAAAATTAAATAAAAATATCTCTATTTCAGTTTCATTGGCCACATTCCCAGTGTTTCAATAAGAAATATTAGGATAAAACTCTTTTAAAAGTAAAAAAAAATCAAGTAATAAAATACATTTTATTTTACTGCAAAATTACAACTATCTTAAATCTTAATTTCTTAATTTTTAAACAGTAACCCACCAAGTTTTTAAAAATATAAAAAATAGGCAAATAAAAATATGCACTGCTGGTTTCAGATTGAAGCTCAGCATTTGGTTCATTCACATGCTTGTAACCCATGATATCAGGTGTAGATGACGTGCTTCACTCTGAAACCAGTAACACATATATTTATTTATTTGTTTTTTTATTTATAAATATTTATTTATATTTATTAAATTGCAGCCTGTGCGATTTGACAAACGCATTAGGCCATATCACGATACCGATTTCATTTTGATAAATCGTGCAGCCCTGCAACGGACCATGTCTTCGTTCCTGTCCTCCTCAAGCACTGGGACAGCAAGAGCAGAGATGATTCCCCTCTTGATGTTGAGGATGTTTATCAGCTCATCTTCCTCAGGGAAAAGCTTGATGTCATCGTCTCCCTCAACGGTGAACTTCAGAGGGCGTCTGAACAAAGAGAGACGAGTCTGCTGAATATGACCATCTGATACCAGTGCCCGTATTATAGGGAGATGCACCCTAGTTATTGTTAGTGTTGTCAGATCCAAGGTTAGAACAAATCAGTGAGGACTGAATGAAGGAGAACGTAGAGGACCCAGTTGCAGAAACGAGAGCTCAGTCAGGGTGTACACTTAATGTCTCCTTAATGTAATTCCAAAACAGAATCTCCAAATTTTCCAAGGAGTCAATCCAAAAAAACAAACAAAGGAGGGTCTAGAAACATCAAAGGGTAAATTATGTTTCCCAAAAAGTTAAATTAAAAAAAAATCCTAAACCTTCCATGGGAAAAAAGAATAAGAACAAAAAAATGAAAAAGCAAATAAATCCAGAGAAAATCACAAGAGGAATTTACCAAAAGACTGGAGAGGTTGGTCTCAACATAACAAACACTGAGAAAAAAACAGAGGTACAAAGCAACTTGAATACACTCACAGAAAATGAGGCACAGGTGAGAACAATAGCACATGATCAAATGATGAGAAGCTGAAATGAAACACAATGAGGGCCTATAGTTGCTAAAACTAGCTCATAAACCTAACAAGTGTGAACAGGCCTTTACCTCTCCATGGCGGTTTTGAAGTCCTCCGCACCCGCAGCTGCTCCAAACACAGGCTTTCCATCCGCATCCACGTCAATCACTTCACTCAGTGTGCAGTCGGTGGTGCGCACAATGAAGCTGCATGTACCAGGAGCCGCAATCTCAACCTAATACGATAGCCACACTGCGTTGCTGAAAAAATAGTAGTATATCTTTAGTTTGATGAGGTGAAATGATCTCGTACTGTACCTTGCAGCTGGCCTTGGGGCCGTTGACAGCCCCGTTCAAAGCATTCAACGACTCTGTCTCATAGAAGTACTCATATTTGTTGAAGGGCTTGTATCTTTTGGCCACTAGAAGAAGCAGAGCATCTCATTTAATACACATTATCAACAAATGAGAAACTACAGAAATACATGCTGACATTTAATATTGAATTTAGATCATTACAAATGTAGGTTTTGCATGTACAGTAGATTCTGCAGAAAAATTGAGACATACTCAAGCATGGCGCTCCTTCATCCTGAGCTTCTGCAATACAAAACAAATGTACATTATTAGAGTGAATTGAAACTCTAGCGTTTGCACTGTAGTAACATCTGTAGTCAGGGATGAAAATGTTCAAAAATACCAACTTGAATGTACAGTATGTGTGATCCTTTAGTAATCTAAATACAACACTTTTAGGACACTACATACTGGTATACATTCTTCCATTCATTGCTAAGACATTTGAATGAGCTGGACAACAACCAGTCTGGTTTCAAAAGTGCCCACTCGACTGAGTCCGCCCTGCTCTCGATTATTGAAGCTCTGAGACTGGTAAGAGCAGCTTTCAAATCCTCAGTTCTCATCTTACTGGATGTGTCTGCTGCTTTTGACACGGTTAACCACCAGATCCTCCTGTCAATCCTCATGATGAAGGGCATCTCAGGAACCGCAGAACTCAGGAGTCCTTCAGGGTGTCGTGGAGGGGTGAGGTGCCTCTCTGGCAGCATATGCATAACATCTCCATGACGCTACTTCTGATTCAATGAGGCTTTAATCCTATGTAGCGGTTTACGACGTCATGACGATGACACCCCTATACAACTCCTCCTACGGGGCGGGCTGAGCACTATCAGTTGTCCTGATAAACTCTACACAGAGCCCAGCCTCTTTTTTCGCACACAATCCCTGGCTCTGGCTCTAATAGTCGCGGACTGCTGTGCTACTGCAACATTGATCAAAAGTCGAAGGAACATTGTCTGGTTGTTACACGGACTGTCAAAGGCCGCTTCAACCTTCTTGTTTGTCAGACGCAAACTACTTTGACTCACACTTCTGACCCAAAAACTTTGTCAACGTACAACGCCTGGACGATTGTGCTGTAAGGACTTCCAGGAGATTACAGAATCTTTCACCATCGAATAGGGGACCGAAAATCTGAAAACTTCAGAAATGGCGACGCAAAAGCTGATTGAGTTGAGTCCCCGTTGAGTTCTGGCGTAGCGGGAGCACTGCGTCATCCGTGTAAGTGCGCCACGGGGAAAGAGTGTCGTTTAAGAGCTACGCTTGACTCTATGTTTAAAGATCATTTTAGAGGCCCATTGGTTAGCTTGATGCACAGGATCATCGAGGCTGCGTGTGATGAGAATAACGATTGTGCGAGGGATACCAAACGTGTGAAAAATCTCAAAAAAGAAATGGATGTCATAAGAGGGTTGGTTGGATCTTGGACAGATGTGACTCCCATGTTTTTAAACGGGAAAGAACCGATCGGCGTAATCCTCAGAAAAGTTCTGGCTGTGATGCTTGAATCTCATGAGGAATTTGAAGTTGACCAGTTGGAATTTGAAGTTGACTACTCTGTATGTGTACGTTTGTAACAGATCTCTGTGTGTCACTGTTGTCAAAAAATGTAAAAACAGATGTTGATGAAATAGTTGAATGTCTGGTCAGCTATGCCCTAGAGCAAACCATGATTGCATGCCGTGACTTTATATTCTGGCTGGATCACCAGTAAATGTCGTTATTGTTTACGTTATGTACAGTATGTAATGCCGGTCTGTCATTTTCTTCACTACTTCAATATATATGATTGTATACTCAAAAGTATAACGTTGAAATAAAAAATAAATAAATAAAATGTATTTTGTGGTCATTTCTGATCTCATTAAAATGGTAGACTATTACACAACCTTACATCTAAATTGCATTTGAAATATTTCAAAGACCCTCGCGCCACATTCGATGTCCACTTACCGCCCCAAAATATAATTATAGTAATAAACTAGGATAATATACTATTTAAATGAATACCGTGGTTTAATGCATATCAAGTGTTGTATACAAGCAAAGAGATGCCGAGAAAACCAAGAGCTTGCTACCATCACGGCTAAATGTAGGAAACATTGTTTTCCTGACAAAGACAAATATTTTCTCTTAATCCAGTAATGATATTTTCATTAAAGATTAAGAGGTTAAAAAAAGGGGATGAATTGTTTGCAACAAGTTCTGTAAAAAGCATTTAGAAAGTAAGGCTTTAAGTTAACTTTACCAAATATTAAGTTCAGTTATAGAACTTTAGCGCATTGAGTTTAAATTAAAACGCGATATCAATATCGCGTAAAACACGTCATTACTGAATTGAGGGTTGTTTAATAATTATCAAGCACCAGCTGATTAAAGTGTTTCTTCAAACAAAGCGACAAAAGTAATTTTCTGATAAATCATCGTAGCTACATGGAAGCACTGTGTTTTGTTGTATCCCCAGATTTTGAGGGTCGCTTAGAAAAAGATGTCTTTGTATTTTTAAAAACATAGATAGATCTATGACCTACATAGATGTTTTACACGAAAAAAATATTTCAGAGATCCTTGTGCGGTATTCTATATTCGCATTCTCATTAAGGGTTAAAATATACATTTAAGAGATATTTAAAAAACTAGGATGGTATAATAATATAATGTGGTTTAAACCATCATTTTATTAAATCAAGCCAATTCATGCAAATACTGTCGTATATGAAAAAAGAGAAGGCCTAGAGTTCACAAACATTACAGCTAACTGTAGGAAACGGATATCCATGGGGTGAGAGTGTAAAGAAAACATCGTACAAAATACGATAAGTGTTACGATAGTGTTGTTAAAAATGAAACCATGGTAAACAATTTAAGAACACTAGCGGTTCAATAACAATGTTCAATATAAACAAGAATCTGACTCTAATGCGAGTGAGCGTGTTTCATATATAGTTTATATAACAATTGATATTTACAATATGTTAAAACATTTTTGATGATGAGGCCAAAAAACTGAAGAACGATTATTAAGACATAAAACACAATGCCTGTTTTCTGGATCAGGCCTAAAAGACGCCTGACTAAAACTCTTGTGTCAAAGTATCGGTGTAGACGGAATAAAAAATGAATCATCCCGCCTTTCACGTAAAAATATCAACGGTAATTCATTAGCTTAACCGTTGATTAGCCACGTAGAAAAAAAGAATCGACTGTGCTGTGAAATGGGCAATAGCTAGACGAATTTGAAGTATGACAGTTTTATAAGTAACAGAAAAACAATACTCATCTTTCATGTTGATGTTTCGTATAGACATAGCTGAAAGATGTTCTAAAATAAATATCTCGTGTAGAAATATCTGTTCATGTTTTTCACAAATTCCTATATGTTTGACCATGTTCGGAGACTATAGTTTTTGAAAACTGTACAAAAAGAAACATGATGTCAATTACAAACATACAAAACTGATCACAAGTGGCTTTTCTGTATGGCTCATGTTGTATTTACTTTTTAGCAAGTTGATCACTAGCATTTACTTTTGTGCAATTTTAATTTTAAACACCGAACTTTGTTTAACAGTCTTAATGAATATGCCTCTCTCAGTACAATAGTCATATGTGATTCTGTTGTAATAGTTTACGTGTAAAACAGCATGCACATACTTTTTGCGTTAATACTTTGTGTGATTCTACATCGTAGATAGAGGGAAAATTGCAATTTAGTCAAACATTCTCAAACACTTAAATTAATAATGGTCATTTATTCATATAAACAATGAATGTTGACGGCTCTCAAAGAAAAGTCTTCACCTAAAACAGACACACATTCAAAATGTGAACCAGTGTCGTCTGCTATCTGAATAGTAATAGTAATAAAACCATCATTTGTGAACTTTTGTGTATTTATTATTATAAACAGTGCTTTACTTAGTGATTTGGTCTTTTGAATTCATGTATAAAGATTATGTTATAAAGTTAGACCATAGTCTTTACAAGAGTGTGGAACTTTGCATCACTACGGTGTGACAAAATATGTTGGCGTGTAAAAATACAAACAAAAACTTTAAATCAGCATGAAACCCTAATATTAATAAATAAAATATGGTTTAATTCAAGTTTGATAATGACTTCCATAATATTTTCTTTTAGTAAAAAGCTATGCCTGGATCAGCGTGAGGGTGAGACCGAGCAAAGATTACACCAATATTAGCTTTCTCAAACATTGCATGGTTGAGCTATGCCTGAAACTTAGTAATCAACAGGCATTTCTGTAGGTCTGTCAAAAGAAAAATCATCTGGTTTTAAACACTGCTTTTTCTTAAAAACATTGTGTCAGACGTATTTGGTAGCATGATTGCCTCGTTTAATCGTGTATTAAGTACATATTTATCAGGCTGATATTTGTAGAAAGTAAATTTCTAAAAGAAAAAAAGAACCGGTTAATGGCCTTGTGTCAGAACACAACAGGTATGAAGATATGTTTGTTTTTTTATTCTAACTTTAAAAGCTAGATTAATCTTTGAAAAGGTTAATACAGTATTTGATTTTTGGCGGAAAATCTGGAAAACCACCTTACGCACGCAGTGTTTTCACCAATTGACCTAAGCCGTTGGCCATCCTTAATGCCGTCATTGTGAGTTGACATCATATATCATATTTTTTACTTTATACTTGCTAGGAAATGAATTGAAATTGAACCCAATTAATGACATTGTGTCAGAACACAGCAAACATGAAGAAGTGCTTTTACATTTTTGTTCAAACTTTAAAGTAAGATTACCCTTTGAAAAGTGTAATACAAATCGTATAGAGTATTTGATTTTGGGGGGAACGTTGCAAGCTAGTGTCATTAAACTTAATCTTTTGGTTTTAAGGGGAATTAAATAAATTTTAAAAAGTATTTTAAAAGCTCAATGGCTTTATTCACAAATATTACCTCATTGGTGTAAAATTAGCTCTGCCGATGTTCTGACGGGTAAGTCCATGGAGGCCTCCATGTCGTTCTGCCATCTTGAAAAACTATAATAGCGGAGAGGGACAAAAAGCACTAGGCTACCTCAACGCGTTTCTACAACACGTTTTCATTCAGAGCCGGCTGACTGAAACCATCTGAAACGAACACAAGGAGGTCAGTGAGAGGCGCTTGTCACTCCCCCGGCAAATTTGAAAGATTGCACGGCACTTCATAATGCAATCCTCGTAGCCATGATAAAGCTTAAAAATTTTATCTAAAAGGAAACGCGACCGGC